GGTCCGCGCTGCTGTGTCTTTCCCCGTGCAGCTGGGAGGAATCAAGTTCTCCAACAACATTGGCCCATCGCCGTCGTTGCTTTCCACGAAGCGTCGGATCACCGCGCCCACTTGAGCCTTGGGACGCCGAACCCGAATGGAAGTGGACCTCCCACCCAACAAGCCGTCCGTCTGGAGGTGGTTGGTTGGTGTGGTTGGTGTACATAGGGTGTCAAGATACACGTACTTCCACACACCTATGCACAGTACTTCACACTTCTTACTTTGGCTCAAGAAGAGGAAAGAGGACTTCAGCTGCTCAGAGTGAACTTCAGGGTTGAGCCTGGTGAATACTTCAGGTTGTGACTTCTTGTTTGGTCAGTAACTGACACTTCTGGATTTTCGCATGGTAGCGGAGCCCTGCAACGACAGGGACTCCTAGGAACTTCAAGTACAGAACTTCTGCTGTTGAACATGGCTGAGATAGATGGAGACTTCGGTCGACTCAAGTTGCCACTTCCCCCACACTTCTCCGGTGAACCTCGTGACTGGGAAGAATGGGAGTGGAACTTCAGAACCTACATAGCCATGTTCCAGCCAAATGTTTTGAACTTCCTAGACAGGGCTGCTACTTCAGACGCAGAGATCGTAGATGCACACTTCCAGACAGCACAGGCCACTCCTGCAGAGCAGGAGAGACTAGTCACTTTCAGTAGGAAACTTCACTACCTTCTAGCAAACCTTTGTACAGGCTCAGCCCGACTTCTGGTTCGCCAGAATCAGGGCGGAAACGGCTTTGAAACTTGGAGGTTACTTCACCAGCGTTTCTCGTTGCCAGATGCCAGTAGGCATGTGTCACTTCTTACAAAGATTCTTGATTGGAAGTTCAACACGCATACGTTTGAACAAGACTTCAACGCATGGGAAACAGTCAAGAACAAGTACGAGCAGCAGACAGGACAGCAACTTCCTGACAGCATCTTAGTAGCAACTTTGATGAACAAGACTTCAGGACCACTTCAGCAACATCTTCGGTTGAACGCTGGAATATCAACACGTTTGATCAGGTCAAGCAACTTCTCGTGCAGTACTTCAGGTCAAGGCACATCCTCAACATCCCAGACACTTCGATGGATGTAGGAGCAATCAAAGGTAAAGGAAAGAAAGGAAAAGGAAAAGGAAAGAACAACTTCAGCCATTGGTACTTCATGAAAGGCAAAGGTGGAAACAAAGGCCCCAAACTTCGAACAAAGGAAAAGGTAAAGGAACAATCACAAACCCCGGTAGCTCTACTTCGGTTGTTTGCTATACGTGTGGTAGGCCAGGACACACTTCTCGTGAGTGCAGAGCTGGTAGGATCAACGCAGTTGATGACACTTCGGGAAATCAGAATGAGAGTTCATGGAATGAGACTTCATGGAATAATGAATGGAGTGATGATTGGACTTCATGGGATGATCCTAGTTACTTCGGTGATTATGGTGATTCATGGGATGATTACTTCATCGGTAATGTAGGTCATGATGATTGGTGGACTTCTGATGACTGGACTTCATGGGATGACTGGTCTTGGG